GTTATCAGATTGGTTATAAGATCCGTGACGTCAGGAATCAGCTGTTATATGTCATAGTTATCACCGCAAAATTGTGGTATTTACCGACCTCCGGAGTAGTTTTATATTTCTGGTTATGTGACAAGTTAGAATTTTGCCGGGTATTGGATATTTTTATTGTACTTCAGCTTCATTTTTGGGAAACTTGATACAGGCTGACTTCAGTTTTAGCATAAGAGAGCACCTTATTATTTATAATCATCACTGTTGTTGGGGACACTTTAAATCTAGTTCCTACACTTAAAAAAGTATCCTGTATAGCCATATACCACAAGAATATTAAAATAAGGCCGTATAAACTCACCGGATGATGTCCACCTGTATACTGTTTTGTTAATATCTTTTTTTCATCGCTTTTCCATCATTTCTGCTAAATCAATAAATATTTTCTTTGACATGCGGAAAAGTTTAGAGAATTGAAAGTTATCATAGCTACAAAGCCATGCTTCCATCAGTAAACATTTTTTTCGGAAAAAAAAACATTCCTCCCATTAGTATTATGAAAGTTTTCTTTTTTTCAACTTTCCATACCCCGTTGTAGACGAAAAAGCACCGATTATTAAGTGATAATAAAAATAATCAGAAATTATATACACGCTTTTCTAAAATAAACAACTTGCAACAAACCGCGGTTAAAACCAACGCGTTCAAGCGATTCGAGTAACTGACGTCACCATCCCGTGTGTCATCTTGAACCATATTATAACCGCGGTACATAATACGGAAATTTTGGTTATCCGCTTGGATTTGATTTAGAATGCTATGATTATGTAGGTCGGGAACAGTCGGAACGCCGAGCGTCGCGCGCCAATCAGGAGGCGTAAATTATATAGGTACAAGATTCCAAAGAAGTAATGTTGGCCCAGACATGTCACCAAATTCATGGGGTGCCATGGTTTTCATTCAGAGCAATGGTTTTTTCTCGTAGAAAGAAAACTGTGTAAAAGTTCCTCCTTTCAAAACTTTTGGAAGAGCATACATATGCATCTGCCTCCAAATCCAATCCCAAATTTTTATTCTTGGTGGTGTATGTCACCCCCTGGCAGCGTTCATAATCACAAACCAAAATACTTCACTGCATGCTAACGAAATTCAATCTTATTTGACCTTGCACCAAAAATCGTGTTAATATTTATATATCTGAAGTTAATCTTAGAAAGAAAAATTGTAGCATCTATCCTGCGTAGAAAGAGGATAGGTACCTATCTGAATCTAATCACTAGTTGCAGCTCTCAATCCTTGCACTCTTGCACAAGTGGCTACTTGATTGATTTTAAGTTAACTCGAAGTGCGAGATGTAGGTATCCCAAAAGAATTTGGGAAGAATACGCCAAACAGTCATTCGATGCTAACGTGACTATGTGCAGCCGGCAAAGGATCGACGTGATCTTTTTTCTCATATTTTTTTTTTGGGCTCTTGCATAGGTGCTGCATTAGCCAAGAATTAGCATGGAATTAACATGCATCCAGACTCCAATTGGTTGCAAAATCAGAACAAAATATAAAACGACGTAGCTATGTCTGTTGATGAAGAGAAATGAATTCATCCGCTCTATGGATAACGTGATTATCACTGAAAGTAGTTGCTCTGATCGCTAAAGCCCGACAAACACGGTGCAACATGTTTTCGTACCATGCTATTATTATATGGTAAAACAAATAGTGATTGATATTCTTGGGTGATCGGCTCTCGTATTACATAATGGAAAAGGTGACTATATCGTTTTTTACGACATTATGTAGGTTCTTTTCTTGGCATTATGTTTGTAGCTTTTCCTATAAAATGTCACCTTTGAACTCGCTAAAATTCACTGCTCAACGTCATTGTAGTAGGCGCGGAGTAAACTAGCGGCTACCTAGTGCAAAAGTTGACAATTTACCGATTTTTTTTGACATTATATGGGTTTTTTACGTAATAACCATGCGGAACACCCATCCCTAGAAAGAAAGGCGACATTACTTTAGTGTTTTTGGTGTATATCTGTGCCTATGCTTAACAGAATACAGGCAATCAGTATGCCGATAGGTGTTAAGGTGAGTCTACACTTAAAGAATTCAGCTCTCACATACTGTAACAAGAATGAATGGTACACTAGCGCCATCTGTTGGGAATCGCGCCAGGAAAGAAAGCGGAATTGCAAGAGCGGCTTCGTAAAGCATTGATTGAGGAAGCGAGGACCCGGATATTTTCATTTCTACCGGTGCAGGGGATATTGGTTTAATGTTACAAAGCCTTTCGACCAAGTTGGAAAACAAGCTCGTAGAAAATTGTGCCACCCTAGAAGGAAAGCTCGTGGAAAATTGTGCCGATCTTTTAGAAAACTCAGCCAAGTTAGAAAATAGGCTCGTTTAAAATTGTGCCAGCCTAGAAGGTAAACTCTTGGAGTTGCGCGAAAGTACAGCCAAATTAGAAGATAATTTTTTGGATAATACCGCCAATTTGAAAAAAGAATTGGAAGATAAAATTATGGAAAAATTTTGCGAGTTGGAAAAACGGATTTTAGAAAATTTGGAGGAGATAACTCAAGAACTGCATGGCAAGTTTTCTGCCTTAGACGTCAAGACCATCGACGAACGACAGCGTGGACTTCCGTTGGAAAAATCAAGTCAGGTTGAAGCTGCTGTTGGGTCAACTGGTCATCTGCGAATGAAACTGCCGCAAATTGGTGGTACAACGCCTTGGAATGTCTACCGGCGTCAGTTTGAGGCAGCCGCGAATGCAAATGGTTGGTCATGGACGGAAAAGGCAACTGCACTCACTTTGGGACTGCAAAGAGATACTGCAGCTATTCTTCAAAGAATATCACCCGAAGAGCAAGAAATCTACGGACAGCTACGAGTAGTAGGACATTTGGAGATGTCTACCATACTCAACTAAAGTATCGGTTACAGAAGTCAGGCGAGTCGTTGCAGGAGTTCGGAGCGGATATTGCGCGGTTGGTAGGATTAGCATATCCGGATGTCCTGGAAAGAATAATAGAGCGATTGGCAGTTCAAGCATTCCTGGGTGGACTTCGTGATGGTGGAATGTGGCAAGCCTTACTACTAGTACTAGTACATCCACCTAAGCTAGGAGCTGCGCTACTGGGCCTTAGAATTCGAACCCGCTAAAAACACAAATAAAAGCTAGGTCCGAGTCCGCCAGATGGTACCAGGAGATAACGAGTTCGAAGAGTCCGTCAAGCGCATTGTTAAAGAGCTTGATGGTGAACGTCGCCGCCAGAATAGCAAGTTGGATTGTTGGAAATGTAGAACGGTTTTTATTTTTTTACTCAAAAATAGCACATCGAAGGAAAACAATTAAAGACAGATCATTTGTTTTAAATTGAACGGGGAATTCAAAAATAATTTTTATTTGACAAAAAACCATTGGCGTACCATTTTTTCGAAGTCAATACCAGTACGCACGCCACTGTTAAAGCTAAAAATTATTTTTGCATTGAAAAATGTGCAACTTAATTAACTTTTACTACGTACTAAATATCAGTGAAATATCTGAAGCCGTTCTGAAAATATTAATTAATTTCCATTTTTGTCCTAAAACTTCAACATCCCGAGTTTTTGTAAGGAAATATTTTTGGACCATAGCTTATAAAGCAAACTAACATTAATTTTTCATGTAGATTCACACCCTTAAATATTCGCATATCATTAAGGAACACCCTGTATAATCATTAGAAATAAAGACGATTATTATTATTTTATACTTTGTAAACTTGAGCAGAGGTCGGTAACCTTTGACAACCAATTGACACAAGGTGGCAAAAAAGGAGCGCCAGCTATCTGGAATTGAAAATGAATTATATTACTTCATTTGTAAAAAAATGACGAACAATAACGATAAAATAAAAATAACCATTTTATAAAACGTTTTTATGTATTTGTTTATGTAATTATAATAATCAATTATTCATTTAGTAAGTATATTTAGGCATATATCATTCAGAGAGCGTCACGGGCCGTAAGCAGTTGCCAATCCTTGCTCTAGAGCATTGATTCCCAAAGTGGTCTATATCGACCCCTAGGGGTCTATGACAACCTGCAAGGGGTCTACGGCAGCGAAAAAAAATTTGGGGGTCCATGAAATGAATATGGGGGTCCGCGATAGTGGATCTCAACACATACACTGATAGCACCTATTTACTTACATCATACTATCTTATAATATCAAAACATATACATTATTTATAAAAGTACCTATGAAGTAAACAATTTATTATATATGTTTATAAAATTGTGTAAGTTGTAGGATGTTGGTATTCGCTTTGTGGTCGCAATACATTTTGAACTTGTAAAAACCTGAGAGCAGTCTAAGAGCTTCGCTACCTTGCACTGACTTGTTCAATTCACTCTATAAATACGAATGTGGGACAAATACGTTTATTCGTTTCCTGAATCTTGAAAAGGAAAGTGCTAAGAAAATATTTTAAAAAATATAAACAGATAGTATGTCACACAAATTATAGTGAGTCAGTGTTATTTTGTTTGAGACTGCTGGAGAAAAGAAAGTGTATTATTTTTTATTAAATTTTAGTTTTGTACTCGTAGTTAGCAAAGATAGATAAATTACGCCAATCATGACTTTAGTTATTAGTAGTTAAATATTCAATCATGCAAAGTTACACGAGTACTCCTCAATAGTTTCTTTTTGAAAGTTTTAGCAATCGGTAATATAATTACAGTGCAATCTCCGTAATTCGAGCTAATTGTTGCAAGAAGATGTTCGAATTATGGAATGTTTTCGGAAAAATCAAAAAATATTTTTAATATACAGCTGCTGGATTTTCTGTCTTATTTAAATAATTGAATTTTGCCCACAGATGACTGATGCCATGTCCGAATCTAAAAAGAAATGTAGACAGTACAGTGTTGATTATTTGAAATTTGGCTTCATTCCATCATTGCCAGACAAACAATCGCCTATGTGCCTTTTATGCAACAAAGTTTTGGGCGATGACGCTATGAAACCATCTAAACTGCAAGATCATCTGAGAAGATGCCACCCTGATAAAACAGAGAAAGGTTTGAAATACTTTCAAACACTCAAAGATAAATTTCAGAAGAGACCTACACTGGAAAGAATGTTCGCTTCGACGTCACAAAGAAATGATGATGGTTTGCGGGCGTCTTACAATATCTCGTTAGGTATAGCAAAATCCGGAAAACGGCATACTATCGGAGACAAGTTAATTTTGCCAGCCGTTGAAGAGGTTTTAAAAACTGTTTTACACAAACCTGCATCTGATATCATTAAAAGAATTCCCTTAAGCAACAATACTGTTGAAAGACGTATTGATGAAATGAGTTCTGATATTGAAAGCTTCTTATGTAATTATTTGCAAACGACCCATTTCTCTATACAACTGGACGAGTCAACTTTACCTGATAATGCAGCATTATTATTGGCATATCTTCGTTTTATTATGAATCAAGAAATCTACGAAGAACTGCTCTTCGCAAGAACTTTGATAACCGACACTAAAGGTGAATCAATATTTCATGTTTTGAAGGATTACTTCATTGAAAAAGCAATTCCTTTATCAAATATAATATCAGTAGCTACAGATGGAGCACCTGCCATGGTTGGACGTTATCGTGGATTTATAAGCTATAGTATTTAAAACAAAATATGTCAGGGGTGTTAGCAAGATTTTTTGCACTTTTTGAGACTATTTTAGAATTTCTGGATACTAAAGATAAAATTTTAAAAGAAAATTTGATGAAGAGGAAAACAGACATCGCCTATTTAACAGATTTGTTTACAAAATTTAATATGGTTAATTTGCAATTACAAGGCGACAGTTTAAATTTGATTCAAACAAAGTCCATCTTATCAGCGTTTCTTGCCAGAGTTAAACTAATGAAGCAAAATATTGGATGGGGCGAATTTTCTCAGTTCCCCAATTTGTCACAGACAAGCTGCCCGGAAGACGACGTTTCAACTTACGTTCAACATTTAAATGCCCTCTATTCAGATTTTGAATCTAGGTTTGAGGATATTTTGACTATGGTAATACCACCGTGGATAATTAATCCATATGGTGACATAGAAGAAACGAATGTCATAGTACAAGAGGAACTGACTGAACTAAGTACAAACGAAGAACTTAAGGTTCAGTTTAAAAACGGATATCAGCAATTCTGGCTGCAAAACAACATCCCCGTTACTTATCCCGTATTATGGAATATAGCGAGGAAATTTTTAATTTCCTTTCCATCGTCATACCTAGCGGAAACGGGGTTCAGCGCTGTTACCAATCTCCTAACGAAAAAAGAAACAGACTGGACATCATTAGCCGAGGAGATTTAAGATTAACCCTTACAAAATTGACGCCAAATGTTGATAATTTTTTATTAAAGCATCAGGTTCATCCTTCTCACTAAAAATATTGACTTATTTCTTATGTTATTTTATTTATAGTTTATTTTATGTTTATTGGTGTCTGACCAATAAATGCCCGCATTGGGAATAAGTACCCTTTATAGAAAATATTTTTTTTTAAATTATTCTGAAAATTCAAGGATAGGTACACACTAAAATTCGTTAATTTTTTGCCTATTTTTAGATAACTTAAACGTATAAGAAGCGGAATTTAATCAAATATGTTATATTGCCCTTCCTTCGAAAAGGAGGACATAAAATATGGGGCATGATGTTCAAAAAATTGACGGAATTTGACGTTTTTCAAATGGAATGCCTCGTGTTTTATTAGACATTCGGATAGATTTTTCTAAGAAAAAAAGATTGATATTTCATACTACAGCGTGTTGATGATTGGTTGATAAATTGTATGCAATTTCATGTACAATACGTCCAACTTTGTTAGACCGCCGATCCGCCAATTTGGAAGATACTGATTTTAAGGTCTAGGGCTATGAAGTACTCATAAGGGTGAGTTCAAAATGAGGTATCGCATGACCTCCCGTCCACATGTAAAAATATTCTAAGATCGCAATCAACTCCCGCGTTTAGGTTAAAATAATAATAATAATAATAACCTTGCTGGCTTAATCAATTAAAAAAAGAGGAGGAGATCTTTTTGAAAAGGACGGGATGAGTTCCCCCCCATTGGGGGGGGGGGTAGTTGCGTCATCTTAGAACCGCTTCTGAAAAAACGGCATCTAGGTCACCGAACTTGAGTCCTTTGGAGTGTTTGATAAGTATCTTGGGAAAGAAGCATTTACGGATCTATGATTATATAAACTTTTCTTTTTAGAATCACCGTCTGATGTTTAGGCATGTATTTTATTGCTTCCTTCTTTCGCGGTAAGACCTCAACGATGTGACATGGAGGCATTTTCTCACTCAATGTATTGTGACACTCGTTAACTAGTGAAACAACTATTGAACACACACCCTGTAAGTAGGGGACAGAAAATCATAGAAATGCAGTATTTCAAGAATGTCTCTAAGTAAAAAGACCAGATATCCTATTAATAGCTTTACAGCATTTCCTTTTACGCACTAAATACCTTTTTACATTGAAATTGTAAACTAGCTGGCCTATACTTGAAATCGGTACCAATGGTACCGAGAATCCGCATAACGGACAGTAGAAGAAGCGATTCAATTAAGTCTATTTATAGTGTATTTCCAGTTGCTAGACTGAAGAGTATCCCCAGGCACCACTATCCAGTATCTATCAAGATGAACGTCTAATCTAATATTAATAGTCTGGTCATCCGCAGACAGAATTTGTTTAAAATGGAAGTGTTGCTTTCAATTTAAAAAGTTGCATATGCAGTGTCCTGTCATGTAACTACCCAGGTAGCACAAGTACGTGAAAATTACGAGGAAACACGAGACGAATGACGTAAAAGTAACGTGAAAATGACCAGCTAATGTCGCATACCCATGACGTCATAAGGCAGACGTCAATAATACGCTGGACGTGAAGATGACGTCTATTATTCATAATGAATAACCAGTTTTAGCTTCTCCAAGAATCATATACTGATATATTGTGTGTTAGCAGTAGTATTACACAATCGGGGCACCTTAGGCTATAAATTGTAATACTGGCTCGGTACTGCTCGCCTAGTGACGAAAGACGATATATTATGCCTTTATGTTCTCCTTGATTTTCATAGTCTTCCCCCTTCTTCAGAAAGGCTAGTATATTTCTAGATTTCTACTGTTCCCAGTCAGCGTCAGCGCTCTCCTATTCCCAGGCTACGTTTTCTTCTTGAATTGTAGGAAATTTCAGGCTATATTATAACAAATGATATATAAATCAGAAGCATGAACAATTTGATGCATATAGATATTTGTACCATAACCTCAAAGCAGAGCGCTGACAGGGAAGCGTATAAAACTGTGATTTGTCTGTCGTTTATGTTTCGGCCGAAAAGGATGGTTTGTATCGCTCGGTTTTCGAGGGAAACATCTGAAAGGTTCTGCCATATTTCGTTCCACTCAATAATTATCTTTTATTTTGCGTTTGTAGCAAAATGAACTCTCAGACGCTATTATCTGTAGAAACGAGTACCGCCTTAAAGATATTGTTAATGAAAAAGATGAAATATCACACAAACTATATGTTTGTTCCAGGACAAGATTTGGAGAATATCATACACTTTTTCCGCAAGTACTCATAAAATTGTTTTAGTATACGACAATGAACAAAGAGACTTTTTATTGCATATCAGAAGGACTTCGATAAAATATTCAAAAACAGTCAAATTTTCGTCGATGTATGTTATATCTCCAGAGGAAAGTTTACAATTGTCTTTGCGGAAAGACAACAGTAAAATGCAGGCTAAAAAAAATGTATTCCAAATTCAACTTGAAAATATTTCAATAACAAATAATGGAAACTAAATAGTAGGTATTTACTTATCTTTAGGGAAGCGTAAAAATTCATTTAAAGAAGAAAAGTTATATTCATTATTAGTTCGCATTGTGTGTAGTTCTTGGAAAGTTGTACAGGTATGTTGATGATCTTGTGTTGATGCTTTTGGTACTGAAAGTAAGTCGTGACTATTGGCTTCTTGTGTCCAGCTTGTTGCAGGTGATGGAGTTGGCGGAAGACGAGTAGACAGGTAGACTGATCTCCGATTGCATACTTCTTGTTCTTCTATTACCAGTTGCTGCATTTTAATACGAGTTTGTAGTTTGCGATTTTCTGGAATGAGGCGTAAATGCGATAACCAACTCGTTAGAAAGAAATAGTCATCGTCTTTCTGAATTCCTGTGCTCTGCTGGGAAGCGATTCCTTCCAAATGGGCATTTTTTTCTCTCAATTTCCATTAGTTGATCTATTGATTCTTTCTGAAGTCGTTTTTTTCTTTTTGATGTCTTGTTATTCGGTGTTTCAGATGCATTCCCAACTTGTTTTGTTGTTGTGTCAGAATGTTCCAGATTCTACTTGGAAAACGTCCTCATATTCTAAACTTGAATCGGATTCGGAATTGGAAATTTCATCTTGTGGTGTTGAAGATTAAGAGTATAATATTTCCATTTAGAAACAGGAACTTCTGCTGCAGAACGGGGCACAGGTATCACGTAAAAAACCTATAAAACGTCATAAAAAAAGTATAAGATGTCAACTTGCAAACTAGGTAGTTTTTAGGGCGCAAACAGTCATTCAACGTTTGCTCAGGATCGTTGTGAACGTCCATCTATGGAGCAATCACTCAACTAAACGACATGCATTATTGGTTGCATTTGTTTTGTGAGACCGAGTGGTCCTTGTCTGTAGTTTTTATCTCTGAGAAGAAAGTTGGTTGAATAGCAAGATCGCAACTGGATGATTATGTGTATTGATCTGCATGTGTATAAAATCAGTGATATTTGCTGTGTGAGTAAATCATTACTGAATATGCTGCCAGTGAAGTGTATCTATTGGCTGTGCCCGACGGGTTATTTTTATGTTGTGCTTTCTGAAGAGAGGTTATGTTCAAAGTTATAAATTACAAAAAACTGAGGAGAATTACGGGAAATCATCACCGCGTTCGCGTGGCGTGTAATTACTGTTAGCATGTATATGGCTTGTAATTCGACAGTGTACAGTGAATATAATTATTTCTTAGCTCTCTCATTTTTGAAATTCAGCAAATTTGTATATGTAATTTCCAGAATGGTTAAGAAAAAGTGGATGCGCAACTAATTTGTAGCTTTGAATCTCAATTAAGTATATTTGAGACAAGAATCCAATGTAATGATCATCAACACATACAACTTACAGCTTAGACCTCCAGTAATGCCATCTCAGAAGCAGATTTTACATCACATCAGAGCCAAAGATTGATGACAAGCCTCATGACGTTTAGGCAACACGTACAACTAAGTGCTAAGTTAACATCTTGTATAAAAACCTACATAATGTCAAAAAAACAGCATTATGTCAAAAAAAATCGGCATAATGTCACTTTTCAAGATACGTGATACCCGTGCGTTCATAAAAAACTCTGCAGTTACGACGCATTGCACAGAGGGCTAGGAGAAGGGACCAACGAGATGTACCCGTGGAACAGCAATTCAAGGAAGCTAAAAGGCAACTGAGAATGGCGATTCGTTCCAGTAAGAAGGCATGCTAGGAAAGCCTCTGTAGTGACGTAGACCAGGACGTATGGGGACTAGGCCACAAGATAGTGATGCGTCGTCTTGGACAGCAGAGACCTGTTGGCCCATTTGAGCTGGAAAGATAATCGTGACCATTTTGTTCCGTCAACACCCGAACAAACCCATTAAGGGTTTTCAAGTCCACTGAAACTTTGATCATTTCACTGAAGAGGAACTGAAAGCCGCCGCTAGCATAGCGAAAGTCAGGAAGTCTCCGCGTCCCGACTGTGTCCCGATAGAGATCATTAAAGCTATAGCGCTCGAACACCCGACTATTCTGCTGAACATGTACAATGCTAGCCTCGAAGCAGGTATCTTCCCATCAAGATGGAAGGTACAGAGGTTAGTACTATTAGAAAAAGGAAATGGTCCACCCATAACACCGTCATCGTTTAGACCACTATGTATGTTAGACGATGCGGGCAAAATGTTTGAAAGGCTTATTCGACAGATGCAATCGAAGACGCCGGATGATTATCCGCCCATCAACATGGATTCCGACCGCGCCATTCAACTGTTGGCGCACTGCGAGAGGTGGTGCAAGAGGTGTACAAGGCCTGGCGAGGAAATTACCGCACTCCCAGCATTTGCGTTCTGATCACCTTTGATGTGAGAAACGCCTTCAATTCAGCAAGGTGGGCCGATATCATGGCTCCCCTAGAGGCACGCATCAAGATTCTTGCATACCTACTACGGGTAATTAACGATTATCTTTCTAATCTTCGACGAACTTAGAAGGTCAGCAGGTCCGGAAAGTCACTGCCGGTGTAGCTCAGGGTTCTGCACTCGGACCGGACCTGTGGAATGTGATGTATGACGGTATTCTAAGAATGAAGCTGCCGAAATGTGCCCAACTAGTAGGGTTCGCTGACGATATCGCTTTCCGTGGTAACAGCTAGGGACATGTAGACCGCGCGTCTAGAAACCGAGTTTGTAGCTCACTCGCGGCACTTTTGGATGAGACAGCACGGATTATAAATGGCTTCAGACAAGACTAAAGTGACTATATATTCACCAGGCAAAGACTGCATTCCCTAC